TCAACAATCTGCCTGCAGCCAGTTTTGAAGATGAGAGGCGAGCAGCTCTCTGCATTGCAAACTTACTGTGCATTACAAAATGTTCCAAGCTTTGGGTAGCTTGTTAGCAATTTTAATTTTAATGGCCATTCATTTTCTCTCTCCCGGAAACATAAAACGTGACAAGGGACAAGACACAGATGTTGTCTTTGCTGTTGTTTTCTTTATAGCTGAAAATATGCGAAGTATGGGGAAGTCGGGGGAAAGAAAAAAAAAAAACGAGCAGCGATCGTCACCACATGTGTGAGAATTCTTTAATAAATCCTCTGGTATACTGAGTGCGTAATTACTGAGGGTGCAAACGAGGTCACGTTGTCGGCGTAGACGGCTGCTCTGTGGCTGTAAAAGCAAATGCGTTTCAGATTGCAGCGGTGAGAACGAACAATAAACAATGTAGTAATACGCGTGCATAAATGCTGAAAGTTTGTCCTTGTGAATCAATTTCAATCCTCGCGCTGATAAAGCGACTCAGGCCGAGTATCGAGGTGTGTCTCATTTATTCATACGTGGAATGTGCGCTGGAATTTGAATTTGCTGGTGACTCTATACAGAAAAGAGAAAGCAGCTCTGTGTTGAATTGACCTCAGGATAATGTAGAATAATGATCTTCAGCGTTAAAGGGAGACGGTGGTGGAATGTGATATAACCTTGTTGATTGGTTTGAAGACCAAGGAGGCCTGTTTAGGCAACACATGGCTGGAGGAGGATCGGCGGCACCACACCTTGCTGTGCTTTGAAAAAAAACAGGAAACAGACAGTTAAAAGATAAAAAGCTTTCATTAGGTCACCATAAAGATGTTTAACACTGAACATGTGACCGAACACAGAGCTGGGAGTGAATGAATAAACTGCATAGTAGCAAGGCTGCAGGACTTTCATCAATCTAGTGCTTTTTGCATATTTATATTTCCATTTTGTGTTAACGCTCGCTAATATCCGTGCATAGCTGAAGTTAAACTTGGACCAAAATGCTTTGCAAAGCTTGCAAACTGTTCACTGTGCAACATCTTGAGGACATAACAAGTTTTATGAGCACGAATCCTGAGATGAGAGAAGCCACTCACAGGTTTCTGCCAGCTGGGTTTAAAACAAAGCAGGCTTAGGAAGGTACAACACAAATAACATTGTAATCGCACTACAAACTGAATGAAAACTAATTCCACCTACCCTAAACCAGTTTGCACATTGTCAGTTGCCATCCAGGCCGCAATGAGCTGTCTAGACTGTTTGTAAAATGAATGCCTTGTGGGCCATTCATTTAGAGGAATGCATTAAAATAGAATGAGGCACAAGGACAAGACCTGCGAGTGGACACGAACAATATCAATGCGCCTCCATGTTGGGTAATTTGAGGTCGCAACCCGCCTTGTTTTTAAGCCCAAATCCTACATCTGTGCGGTCAAAGTGGCAGCTTGTAATATCCAACTGTTGATAGCTAACTGATTCCCCAGAAAGCTGATTTACCAAAAGAAGCAAGATAACAATGGCGTTATTGTCTAACTACATATCACTGTGAAATCCAAGACACCTCCAGACTATCAAAGGTCATTTGCAAATGAGGCAAAATCTACGGCACGCCTTGCATTTGAATAGAGGAAGGCAAGCACAGAAGCCGATTAAATAAATGAATGAATAACCAAATAAATAAATAAACAAATGTCCAAAAAAAAAGTGAAGTCACAGTGCTGCCCTCTGTTGGCTACATTTAAAGCTGAGGGAGCTGTGACTTGACCCGGCAATGTGAAATCACTGTAGGTACACTTTGTGCCAGTTTTACACAAGAGAACATTTCTTTAAAGCTGTGGCACGAATTTCAGTTATTCTTGTAAAATATTAATCACAAAATAAATGTAAAAAGTCTCCCTTGATTGATTGTAGTGTCGCTGGTTGTGAAAGGTTAAGGTTTAATCAAACCAAAATTTAATTTCAAAAAACATGTTAGTCTTTCTCTGTGCAGCTGTTTGCTGTGTGATTTTTACTTTTGTATTTGTCGCTGCTAGGACTGATTAGGAATTCATCTGTGATAAATTAAGACGAGTAACAGCTCTGCAGATGTATTTAATACCGTCTGTGTCCGTTGCGCAAGTGGACAAATTCGACATCCAGCGTTCCTGTTAGGTAGATTCCTGTGGCAAATTTGGGAATTTTATGCAAACTATAAATTCTAAAAGCTGACGTTTAAAAATGTATTTTACACATGTAGCATATACTGTAGCATTTGGATTCCCCTAGTATAAAACACTGCACTCAAACTATTGATCAAATTGAACACACGAGGATTTGAAATACAGTCAAATGGGTTTGGTTGCAGGATCGCTGCTATCCAGGTTGATCATTGTTTCACGCCAGCATTCAGGTCTGATTCACACTTGATCAAGTCTCTAACTGCTGTGCTGCTGAGATCTTTGTTTATTTCATAGCAAATGTGGAAAGTCTGCAAATATTCATAATTGTATTTTATTATTATTATTATTATTTGATCTGTTTCATCATCTAGAAAATGAGAAAACGTGACACACTTCTAGGCTGGTTAGAATCCACAGGGAATGTCTTGCCAAGCAAAGGTGGCCTTTTTTTCCCCCAACTGTTGTTATTTTTTCTTTGTAAAATCTTGTCATGGATCTAAAATGCAGAGGCTTCTTAAGATATTTATTATAATTGTTTGCTATAAATTAATTAATTTCAAATATATTTTCAGTCCCTTAAAAAAAAACAATCTTCCTTTAATCACCTTTTTTCCACATAGTGTTGTTCTATTTGCTAATGGTGTGGCACATTTAGGGACACTGGTGTATATTTATATTGCAATTTATATTTTATTTTTTTGCACTACACATTTAAAAAACACACATCTGGTAACAAGCTTTTCAGAATGAACATTATGCCATTAGTCTGCTCTCTTAATGTCTAATGCTTTTTTCTTTTCTTTTTTTTTTTTTTTTGCATCTGTTCCAGAAATATAACATCAATAAACTGAGCATATTTCAGATTAGATTTTTTTTTTCTTTCTTTCTCATAGTAGCAACAATTCAGTGCCAAAAAAGCAGGTCCGATAAAACATGCAAAGCTCCTCAGAGCCTCCACTGAAACAAAATGTTCTCTACGGTGAATCCTCCCTACACGTGCTGCCGGCTGAGCCATGTTAATCAAGCGAAGTATCTTAAATACTGTTCCGGGAAGGCGTGCGCCACACGGATCTGCAGCTTTGGGATGTTCGCTTTATGATCCTAAAAACGACTTAATTCTGACTTTTAATGAATATTAAAAGCATCTCTGTAAACGTGCTTCATTGTCGGATTGCAAACCATCGCATTAAGGCCGGTAGTGGTGTTCCTACGGTGTTCCTGGTTAATGTAGGTCAAAGCAGTGACGGAAGGGTGTCCTCCGTTGAACCCGCGGTATTAATCCACATCGCAGTCCTGCAGATGGCGCGCACAGTCAACTGAGTGCCCTGGGTGCTCACCACGGTGCTCACACAACAATATCCGTATGGAGCCGACCCAGCTTGAGAGATGGCGATTGTCTGAAGCGACACCTCTGTCTCCCCTGTACAGCTGGAGGGCTGCGCAGGCAAAGTTCAAGAGTGCAGTTTTTCTTTAAGGGAGTTGTTCACGGGCCTTTACGCACAGCCGCAGCAGCTCCGGGGGCAGGACGGTTTATCACACGGGCAGATCGAGCGTAACCTTAGTTGACCTCTTTGTCAGTAAAAGCTTGTCTTTCAGATGCAGAGCTGCGCGCACTGAACATCCTCTCCACTGTATACACTAATCACACACATGAATATTTTATTGAAAGTATCTATTAGACGCTGCCCTCAGCGTGCTTCATTATTCTGATCTGAACTACAGACAAGCGTGTGCGCACACACGCACACCTGTCACTGTCTAGACAGGGAGGGGGCATTAAGGCGGTGGGTGCGGGGGGGATCCCACATGACCCATTACTGCTTTTTTTTTCCTACGCCAGCCAGAATATATCTCAAGGCACTGGATAATGACAAAAAAAATCAACAACAACAAGAGAAAAAGGCAATCGCTCTACCAAATCTGATTGGCCGGCTGAACCGGCACCATTTTTTCCCCTGCTCGCAAACTCGAGGTCAGCTCGGGACGTTAAAAAATAAATAAATGAGAAAATAGAAATGCGTAGAAAGTAGAAGACACGGCAGACAATCTAGCTTGTTGGCGCTGGAGATGAGTGACGGCGCCGTCGTCCAATGGGAGGCCGCGGCGCAGCTGGCTCACTGTACTGGCAGCGGCGGCGTCCAATGCAAAGTTCAGACGCATGATGGACACATAACTGACAATTCCCCGGTTTCCCTTTGATCCAAACCGGGGATACATTTCACAGTTCATTCACATTTGTGAACGCTGATTATTTGATAGAGCAGGAAGAGGAAGCGGCGCGGCGAGGAACCATATAAGTGTAAAATAAAAGCAGGGATTTGCGGGTTAATGAGGAAACGCTGTGGCTGTGGGTGTCCTGTAACATCACTTTATTAACCCCCCACGTCCTTCTGAGCGGGCTGCGCTTCGTTTCGCATCCCCGTGTCCACTTCTAAAACTGTCGCTGAGGCAAAGTTACACAGTGGGACGAACACTATTACTACAACTACTATTACTATAACTCCCACCACTTCCAGAGAGCCATAATGGAGCCGGTTTCACTCGTCCCACCGTGCGCCCTGCGATTGGGGCACAATAATGTTGACGGATTTCTGATCCAACCCAAGACAGTGCACTGTTTCTTCCAATAGCAGCTTTAAGTGAAAAGGCGTGCCTTGCACCCCTCCACACCCCCTTCCCCTCCACTCCCCCTCCTCCCCACCACCACCACCTCACATCCACCCCCCCCTCCCTCCTCCTCCCCCCCCCCTCCTCCTCCTCCTCCCCCCCCTCTCTCTCCACACCCCCCACCCCTCAAAGTACTCGATGTATAGTTAAAAAATGGGAGGGCACACTTGAACCGAGCTGCTCTATGAAGGTAGGCTGCAGCGTGTGTTTATTGATGAGATGAAAAGAAGATGGAAGTGAGAAATGAACAAAGTAAAGGAACATACTGAAACAAACTAAAAACGCGCTTCGTCGGGGGAAAACAGGGGGAGCCGTGGAAACGCTGTCGCCACTTTTTGAACGAGCTTCGAAGTGCAGGTAAGAAATTGAGAGGAAAAAGTAAAGGAAAAGGGATGGGTCTTGACAATATTCTCCTGCGCTATTATTAAAAAACCGGGGGGGAGAAATTAAAGGGGGAGAATTTGCCGTAGCGGTGATTAAAAACACTGGCCGTTGACTTTAGGATGAAATGCGTAAAAATGCCACTGACTTCCATGTAGTTGCTGGGCTGGCTTTACCAACCAAAATATTAAGGCTCCACATAATCGGAAACTTCATGCGCTCGGAGGATCACGTACGTTCAATAAACGGGAGCGAAATGGAATAAATCGAGTCCCCCTCGTGTTGGGCGACTCAGTTTGGGCTGCCAGTAGGTTTTTTTTTTT